TTATGTGGTACACCAGAGAACAATAGAATGTCCAGAAGTTGCTTCTGTATGTGAAAGAAAATAGTTATGAAAACACCAATTATTAGGAAAGCCGTTTAGGAAATTCCTAAACAAAAATGTGTTTGAACCCCACTTATCATTGCCAGCGGGATTCTTCTCAGTCAATTTTGCTCACCGTAGAATTATTTGAAAGTCCTCAAATAGCTACCTTATCTCTCATATCAGTGGAAACAGTGGATATGTTAAGATACCTATTAGAGATTCAACCTATCCAAAAACTTTTCTATTTTGATATCTTGAGTTTTCCACTTGTTATGAGCAGAAAAGTTGTCCATTTTTTTAAGTTGCAGAGTTAACAAGTTAAACTAATTGCTATTGTTAATAACTTCAGGTTGTAATCACGTGTTGTTAATAGATTTTCTTCAGTTACCTGTTAATGGTTAGAAATCAGCTCAATTGTCCCCCCGCTGCTTCCCGGAGGATTGACACCTGAGGCTGCAGGTAGCAGCCGGGGGGGGGAAGGGAAGGGGGGAGAGGTGACGTCAGAGCTAGTATGCAAATGAGGAAGCCCCTCACCAAATCTTGCAAGAAAAACCCCTAAAACAATGACCCAACATGGAATTAAGAGATCTAAGTGATGTCTAAAGGTCAGGAACTTAAATCCCGTCTGCTAAGATCCTTTTTACCTCTCACCCTAACCGAGAGAAAGTCGATTAGAAAGGGGACCTCGAATGTCAGACTGAAAAGGAGGTGGAATCTCCTATTCTCTCACGAAAACAGAAACCCCAGCTCTGCCTGCACAGCAGCGGACACAGCTGCATCATCCTCCTGCTCTGTGCCACTCCTGGGAGCAGCGGCGGCATGGGCGCGACCCGTTGGTTCTTCCCCACCTGAGCTGATTTTTTTAAATAAAGGTATTGAAAAAGAAAAAGATCTCCTGCCCTATTCATTTCACACTGGACATGCATATGTCTCCTTTTCTATGTCTGTACAGGAAATCCAGTTAACTAGCTTACACCAGATACCTAACTGCTCTGTCTCTAACTTAAGCAAGGTGCACATTTTCCTAAATTTTATAAGACTGCAGTTCATGGTTCAAGTTCAGCTGTGCTGGTGTTAAGGTTGTGTTGTTAGTGATATGAAAGAACACCTTGAAACAAATTTTTCAGATCTGATAAGGAATGACAATGCAAATAAATTTTTACAACAAATACATCTTTTCTCAAAAAGAATGAACCCTTAGCCATGCAACCTATATTTTGACAAAATTCCTCTTGAGAGGCATGGAGGAAGTGCAGGAGATAAAGTTACAAGGTAGCCTTCTATATGGGATACGAAGAGCTTATAAAGCAAGAAACATGAAATTAGAGAATAATTTTATTATTTTTTGTTCAAGAAAGGAGACTACAAGTAGAAAGTAATGGATTTATACCAAATTTTTGAAATATTTTAGCAGCCAGCAAATGGTGAATAATAGTAAAGTGGAATCTACAGGAAGAACACATGAATTTCTTCAGTTAGTACAGAATACCATGAAAAACTTACAAATCCTGTTTGGAGCAGGCCAGAGGAGCCTTTTGACAGGTAGTGGATCAGTGCAAAGTGATTCACATCAAAAGGAATGATTTTAGTTCTACACATGCTAATAATCAGGGTACAAAATATATATAATGATGGATACATCTGCTTATTAAGTAAAACTCTTCCATGAACAGAGATAGAAAAAAGCAGGATGTTAGGCTGTATTGAGATAATGAAAGAAAATAATGCTGAAAATAATATAATGTTATGTAAAACAGGGATGCATACTTCCTGTGACCATGTGAGTCGGTTCTGATCAAAAGTCTTGAAGAGTGTGAAAATGGCTAAGCAAAAATTATTAAAGGCAAAACCCCCCTTGTTTATGAACAGGGATAAAAAGGATACTGAATAAAACAGGAGTGCAAAGAACCACCTGCTTTAGAAAGCCATTGCAGGTTCTAGGAGAATTCTTGGTGCTCCTTATATTAATAAAATGTTGGAAAATAGTAAAATATCTGAAGTTTTACCTACTTGGTGTAATTTGAAGAGGAACAATACCTACTGTGGTTTAAAGAACATAAATTAAAACAATCTATTTATACTCAAATTCAGGAAGAACAGGACTACATCAGACTTGCTTGTGTACATTGAAAAACAACCTATTTACAGTGCAGAAAAAGAAACACTGCTTTACACAGCATGTAAGTATTCTATGAACTCATTTCCATTAGGAGACATTGAAGTTTTAGTCTGTCAAGTCTGAAAAAGTTGTATGAATAAATAACACATACAGTCTACCTAAGTAACGCTGACTAACAACAATATTGAGGCATTTAAGTTTTCAGTCATCAGGGAAAAAGTAAGTACTAGTATGCATTACTTAGCAACTGGAACAGTTTACAAAGGTTCAATTATTGTGACTCAGCTAACAAGCTGCAGCTCAGTATCATTGCTCTTTTTCTCCTTCAGTACTTAAGATTCCAAGGAAGTGACAAGTTGAAAGCTAAACTAGGACTATCTGTAACTGGAACATTTTTACTACATTATTTATTTCTTCAAGACATGCTAAAAACTTTCCCTAAACTTGTGTTGTAATCTCTCCCCCTGCTGAAGCTTCCTTCATCAAGTTAGAAGACACCAAATACTGTGTGACCATTTTCAAAAATATTTTGAATTCCTGCTGAGCCCTCTGATTTGAAGCACGCACTCAATTCTTTTGAAAATGATATTTTAAACCTTAGGACTTAATATGTTATCATTAGCCAAATGCTACAGTTAGTCTAAGTCTCTACCCAGGCAAAAAAATAAACCCAGGATCTCCTTAACCTTTGAGTAAATCTATTAACTTTCCAAATGATAAAACAAATTGTATAGCACTAGCTCAATTTTTTTTCACTGTCCATCAGCAGTACTCCTATGAGGAATCTAGCTCTCATGCATCTTTTGTGCTCCCACTGAAATTCATGACAAAATTTTCTCTGACTTCTTTCAGTAAAACCAGAAGAGCCAGTAGAGGGAGCACAAATACATAGAAATAATTTTCTGTGGCTCCTATAAAAACGATAACCTAAAACGATATATTTTTTCATATAGTATTTACACTATATTTTTTTCCCTCCATGATCAAAAATAGTGTCTCAAATTTCAAGAAAGGCTGATTCAAGGTAAGGAGATGGTGGCCCTTCTTGCAACACCTGAGACCTCACGACTCCATGTAAGAAAGAGGCAGAGGCTGAACCCAGTGAAAACAGTATTGGCAAAGTAATGTTTTCTACATCCATGGCACTGCTGGGCAGACCAGCTTAATGGGGAGCATCTTTGTCTCTGGGACATAATCTGTTCTCTGCAGACTGATATTTTTGCCAGCTGATCCCTGCACATGAGCACACAGGTTGGGCTAACAAGTACAGTACAGCATGATGTGGCTAAACAGTGCTCTCTACTTTGCACCCCTGCTCATTCAGCAAGCTCCAGCTTTTGAGTTCGTCCATTTTTGTGAGCCCAGTGCCATGAGATGTGCAGAAAATGTTACACCTCTGTATGCTCTCTGCCCACTGACTGGCAGACAATTCCTGGAAGAAGTTGCTTTGCTGCAGAACTCAGAAGGTGAGTTGCCCTGCATGTGAGACTGTCTCAGGCAATAATACAGGTCCTTAGTACTCCTAAATTTCATGAGTTTCAAATGGGATCTCAGGATTGCTATGATTTTCCTCCCATAATGGAGGAAAAGATCTAATCCCTTCAGGGGACTGGCTCAAAAAAAACCCCATCCCACACACCCCCAGGAAACCAAATGTGAACTGCTGAGTTTCATATTTTAATGTCAGGCTTTCCTGTGGTGGAGAACACGCAGTCCTCAGATCCATCCAGCTTTGTTTGAAACTGTGTATATGCAACCATTGCAAAAGCATTTGCCAGTACTGCAACTACACTCCCGTTAAAGAAAATAGAGTTAAATAATGATAAGTGCTTTGAAAAATGCTCATGCTACATACTACAGAGGATAGGATGGGGAAAAAACAGATAATCAATGGGATGTGAAATGTTTTCTGAACAAACAAAAAAGTGGTGTTAGAAATCCTTTGGTTGGTTCTCTAATTCTAAATTTGATAAAATTTAGATAAAATCATCAGTTTGGAATTCAGGTGGCCTGCGATACTCAGCAACACACAAGAAGATACTCTGTGCTGGGAGGTGTCAGCAGGAATGACAAACAAGCACTACCAACAATAGGAATGCTAAGCTGAATATTTAAGTGAGAGATATTTCTTAAGTACCTCTTTGGTAATCACATTTGATGTGTTTTCTGTCCTCAACTTCCCCTCTTTCAGAGATAAAAGGTAGGACTACAATTCTTGCACTACAGATGTAGGCATAACTAATGGATTTGACTCTAGAGTGCTATAAGAAGAGCTACAGAAGTGTTTTTGGACCTCAGTGTGGTCACTGGATCCATCCTTGTCTGTCAACTACTTGCAACCTTACACTGAGTAATAATTTCTACAGAATACTTTCTGTCCATGCAATTATACATAATCATGTCTGATTTTCCAGTGAGAAAATCTAATTTTATATTTTCCCTTGTTTTCCTTGCATGTTCCAAATAATTTCAAGCCCCAGTCTGCTAGGTGACCACTAACTAAGGAACTGAACTTTAGACCAGATGGATCTCCTCTGGCTCATATTCCTACTGCATTTTCATTGCAGAAAACATCTCAGTTGGTCCTATACTGACCTTGAAAAGAAAAGAAAAAGAATAAATGGATAATCCTTGAATGTATAAGTAAATTATAGAATAGGACATTATTAATTACTACATATATAGTATGCAGTAATACACTATGCAGGACAGAATTAATTTTTGTTATTAAAAATGGTAAAGAAGCAGGGGTTTTTAGAGAGGCCATGAGAGTGTCCATGAGGAGCAGAAAATTTCTGTGTGTCTGTTTGGATAATCATTCAGGCTACAGACAATTTACCTGCTGGCCTGGTTTGAACGGCGATAGTGTTATTCCCTGGGTATTGATCACTGGGAGTATCTGGTTGCCGATGACAGTGGCGATGATCTGACCCTGGGCATTGGTCAATAACTGTGGAGTTATCGGCTGCACCTGAAGTCCCTGAGCTCCACCTGCCGCCTGGCTGGACGGGACTGGATTAGGCATCAGTGGGATTGTTCCAATAATCTGGAAGAAACAACACAGGGAGAATGCATGCATACCACATATACTTGCCACATGTAATTCCTTATATTCGGCATGTTGAATCAAACTTAGGTGATAAAAGCACAGAGAGACTGGTAAGACAGGCTGAGGGTGGAAAACAGTCATTCCTTCACTGGGGTGTTGAAGGCTTTCTAATAATTTGTCACATCACCTGTACATTTTACCACTGTCCACTGTCACCTGTGGCAAATCTGCTATGGCTTAAGAGTGTATGAAACAAATCTTGGGTCACACTCTGGGCTCTGGATAATGGTTTGTTTCCACTATTCATTTTAACACAGAGTGAGATAGATAAAAGTATCAGTCTTTTTTGTCTTGCTTTCTACATAATCCATATAATGGGTTACTAGTGGGCCTTATGTAGTTTTACTTGATTTTCTGATACCTGGTACTCTAGATGACCACCTTTTACTCCCATGTGATCTAAGGAAGATACAAAGGGATACTGGTACCCTTCATGGCATGCCTTAGTAAGATATGTTCATAAAAATGCAGCTGGTTTTGGATGACAGCTATGAAGTACAACACAACAGGAGGGCTGATGTTAGATGAAATATATTAGCTAACATTTCTGGGGCAAGTAGTTGCAGAAAGAGACACTTGTGACATCTCAGACTTGAGAATACAGTGATTTCCTAAAATGTGAAAGTCCCTGTAAAACTAATATTAGGATGAGATGTCAAACAGATGGCGTAAGAAAGCTTGTCAGTCAATAAGCTGCTAGGCTGGAAAAAGTTATGCTGTTATAAGATCCTTTTTACAGGTATTAGAGAATCTGAAATAAACTTCTGATGAAACTTGGGTCTAAACCCAAACTTTTTCTTTCTTTTTTTTTTTCAAACAGCAACCTATGAAGCTGGAGTCACAAGATTGTTGCAACAGGAAAAATAAAAAAAGCATAGCACATCTCTATTTCCTCCACCTTCTCTTCTCTCTTTATCATAGCCTCCCTGAAAACACCTACTCCATTATAAGACTTCCAGTCTGCCCTTTCCAGAAACCTTGCTTCTTCCTCTTTATCCTCAGTGTTCACCACACTGTGTTGTCTATTTTGACTCCCACTAGTATGATCCCATTTTTTTCTTCAGTGGAGATAGAAATATTGTAGTTTTCCACAGTCTGTCTGCTGGTTCTCATTCCACTTGGGAACTCAGTCATCTTTTTAGATCCCTTTTTTCTGACAAATTTTATAGAAATTAATCAGCTGATTCACAAACCATTAAGTAGGTATGGATAGCTGAATGGACGGAAAGAGAAAGAGATGTATACATAGCACTAGACACAGAGTAGTTTCCTCACAAAAATAGGCTGAAGTATTCCTAATGGAATTCAAAAGCAAGTTTATTCCCCCCAAAAATATATAAAACAGAACATATAACATTCCTATTGATTTCAACAATTAATTTATATATCAGTGGAACCCATCCAATACAGTGTAAAATTAGGTCTAAAATAACTGTTTAGTGAAAATATCAGTTAACTTTTTGGGCAGACCACTAAGTTGCTTTATGAGAGTGCAAAAGTAGAACACCGCTGAATCTCTTCCTGTGGATATAAAATGAATACAGGTGTGAAATGCATGGTGAAGAGTAACAAAGATATGTGAAGATCTCTGGCTACTGAATTCACCAGAGGTGACATACAACAACCCCGAAAAATCTATTCTTAAAAAAGCACCATGCAAAGATATCCAAGTAATTGAGGCATACCTGTAGGGGCAGGTGGCTGTCATCACCCTCTCCCATTATTAGGCTAAGATATGACTACATTGAGTGACAGGATCATAATGAGTGACTGTTCCTTCAACAGTCAGACCCAGTGATGTGCCTCTAGGTAGGCTCAATCATGAAGTACTGGGTGACAACCTACACTAACTCCTGGAGCAAGAAGAGTGCATTGCTGGCTACGGCACCTCAGGAAACAAGCAGCGGGTGCTGAAGTTGTCATCAATTTACCAAATTTGCACAGTTAGAAGGCCTTAGCATGGGAAGACCAGAGAACCATAAAGCAGGACAGCTCTTCTGTGGGAGAACCTGGTAGAATGGTAAGCCCAGATACTAAGCTGTATTGTAAGAGCTGCATATATCAAGACTGTTCAAAAGACTGTAAAGATACAATTTAAGTTCTTAATGTATTGCTAAAAGGTAAACAGATCAATAAAGATTATTACCCCCATTTTATGGAGCATGAAAGTGAAGCATGGTGAAGCATATTCAGAGTTAGCCTTCTAAGCTGAAATTTCCTGAGAGTTTCTCTTTTCAGATCACAATGATTTTATTTTATTTTATTTTATTTTATTTTATTTTAGTCCCTAGCTGAATGGCAACTGCTTTCCCATTCATGTGAGAAGATGGCTATTCACTGAGGAGAAAGGCATTTATTTACATCATTATCAGATTTCTAATTGTTTTCTAAAATCAGACTTTCAGCATGAATGAAATACAACTGCAGTGCAGCACAACACATAAATATCTCCCAGATTTTGTGACCTAACATATTTATGGGTAGGAAATATATTCTTTCATTTTTAATATAATCTCACCAAACACAAGAAATAATCCTTCTTAATTTTATCAGCAGAGACATATCAAAGGCCTCCCCTTCCTTTGCCATGTGAAGGACACAACCTTGTACTGTCATTACTCCAATGTAACTTTGACTATCAAGGTCCTAATCCCAGCAAAGCAAAAAATGCTGTGTTGGTGTTATCAGTAATAGAAATGTTTGCATTCACATTTAAAATGCATTTCTTGTACTACAGTTGGACATTTCATAGAATGACAGTGCTGAAGTGGACAGTTTGTAAGGTCAGATGCAGAAGGCTATCTATATGTATTAATGTGTGTCACACACCATACTGTACATGGCGTGCTGTACATGCACACAGACAGAAATGGAGCAGGAAAAACACAGATGGAAGACATGTTTCAGAAGGGCAAATGACCAAATGCCCTCAGGGGTGTTACTGTAGGACCCAAGGGTGAATCTTATTTAGAAACAGAAAATTACTGAGACTTAAGAAGATTTTATTTCTTTTTTTACCAAAGTAAATTCTTGTCTGACTAAGAAAAAGATATCCACTTGTCTCTACTTAAACAACAGGGCTACTTATTATTGCATGCAGCAATGCAGATTGCATTGCATGCAGATAAAATTGGATTCAGATTTCCCCTTTCAAGTTCCCCCTTGTCCGAGTACCCTCTCCTAAATATCCTAATTGCTCACTGATTCACACATAACGAGTACTAAAACTTGATCCCTTCCTTAAAACTTGTGTGACTGACGTGATGCTGAACCACATCCCTCTTCCCTCTAATTTTGGTATGAAATTTCACCCTGGGCCTTGCTAATCTGTCCTCTTAAATTATTGTACAAGTTGAAGAAAATTTATGGTTTTGATACCTTTGAATTTTGTCAAGAAAGAAAACAAGGCCATGCCACAGGCTTGAGGCACTGGCGTGCCACAGTACAGACTATTTAACTGTCAGTGATTTCCCTAGTCGGGAGGCCTTGCTCCTTTCTAGGAAATGCTGCTACTTCAGATTATATTCAAAGATGGTTCAGGAATAACATGTGACAGGGACTAATCCCAAAAGATACTTACAGAGCCACACAGAATGGTTTGAGTTGGAAAGGGCCTCTTAAAGACCATCTAGTTCAATTCCCCAGCCATGGGCAGTGATGTATTTCACTAGACCACGTTGCTTAAAGCCCCATCCAACACTTTCACAGTGAGAATACATTCCACAGTGAGAACACTTCCACAATGAGAACACATTCCACAATGCTATGTCTTCTCTGAGACAAAGCAGAATAGCCTTCTTACTCTGCCAATGCTTGGACTCAAATTCTTAAACAATCTCACTTGTCAAAGATGTTCTTGAAGGAAAAAAACCACATCGCTAAAAGTTAACATGCTACAAAAGTGTAATTTTAGAAGTTTTGAGAGTTTTTTGTGTCTTTTACAATTCCTTTTACACATGATACAAATGAAAGGAAGCACTGTTCACAAAGGAGCTGCAAAACAGGTGGTATATGCAAAACAGCAATCAGACAGTTTTGAAAGCCCAAGGGTTAATTCAAGGGATCGCCTGGTCAATACTTCTCTGGGGAGTTAGGCACAGTAATCTGCATAGCACTGTTGATTCAAATAAATTATACCAGGTTGTATCTTTATGATGCACAGGTTCCTCACAGAGGTACAAAATGCAGTGCAGGTGGAAACTGTACAGAGATATTTAATGTAAATTCAGACTTCAACTTTTTTTGTAGAGACACGGTTTTCGTCCTCTACTAATCACAAAGACTGCAATTCTGGCCCTCTTCAAGTGACAGAGTGTTGCCAGAATCCTTGGTGGAGTCAGATTATAATTTCAAGTATTCAGTATGTTTCTTTCCTTTTTGTTCATGGATTAATTGATACATCAATTTTATCAAGCTGCTTAGAGAACAGTTTTAGCAGAAAATAATTTATTATTTTTCTGCTTCCCAATATTAACTAAATTTTAAAAGCCAGTTGTTTGTTTCTAATTTTAAAAGAAACCTGGGGTGATTTTAACAGCATCTGAATATTTTCTACTGATTAATCTCTTAGTGTGATTTTAGCACCCTAGGATTTCAAGATATCTGGCATCGGATGTCTCAGATCATACAACTTGAACCTACCATTGTCAAGATGATTTCTGCAATTGTACAGTTTGGCTTGCACATGAAATTAATTTGTCAACCTTCACCTTCATACCAGGTGTAGGCCCAATGGTATTTGCCTACATAGTCCTGCAAACTGCAGTGAAAGAATAGCACACAATTAAAGTGAAGGTAAAATCCCAAGTAATTGAGCTGACCACGGAAGGGTTAAATCCCTCAATATATGAATAATTTCTGTGAATATTACCCCCCCATGGCAGGGTAGTGTCCTATCACTGATTAACTGAAGTTTAGTCAGTATTGTACCTTTAAAC